AAGATCCAGGTTAAATCTTATTCATTCAACGGCGGGGGGCCTGTAAATGGCATCTCACGCCGCTGCAGCTGCGAGGCAGTCTAGTTCGATTTAGAAAGCAAGGCTGTTCGCGCAAGGGCGGGACCGCACTAGCCACGGACATGCAAAATCACTCCGGTGCGGCATATTCTAGTGCCCAGGGGTATTGAAAGGCCGGCAGGGTGGTGAACCAAAAGCCGAAACAGTAAACCCATTTTTCGGGGTCAAAAAGGACAGGGGGTGAACAGTGGCAGGAAGTGGCTGCCCAGCTCTCATCAACAACCCGCGCACACCCCCCGTCCGACAGTGGTGCCAGCCGAACCTTCTGCGAGGCGTTGGGGTTTTGCGGTGGCTGGCAGGGGTGTGGATTGTTGGATCACTGCGCTACGCGTTCTCCGCACGTGCACTGGAGACCCACTGGCCCCTACGGGGCCTGCGCCTGACCAAGCTCTCTGGCGCAGTCAAAAGAGCAACCCGGTTGCCCCCTACAGGGGAAACCTACACACTGATAGAACATGATAGATGAATATGAACTCTTTTTCCCAGTACTGTTTGATTGCTTTTTAGATCTCGAGATCGAGGCCTACCCACAGGATATCACAAATAGGCGGTAAAAAATGCATTTGTAACTGCAGGCCGCCAAAATAACCCTTGCGAATCGACCCTAGGATTTGCACACCATATTGTAATTAAACTAAAGCCCGAACCGCACTAAGGCTGCGGATGTTACCTACCGTGGCGTGCCTTCATGTGCCCCGCAGCCTGTCTTTTGGCACGCAGGGCATATGGGATTCCTTTGACAATCACCTACGGGGGTGTGATGGGTAAAAATCACCCTGGGGCAAGTCACTGGTTGGTGCAGGGGTGGCCAGATCTAATCGAAATGTACAGATTGTTAATGTACCTTTCCCCTGGAAATCGGTGAGGTCGTAATCTGTTTGGCGCGGACGTTCCCTGCCTTGGCGGTACCTCGAGATGAGTGATTTCAATCGCCCCAGGCGCCCACTCGAGGCTAGGCAGGATTGTGCCACGGCGGGCGACCCACGGCTCCCAACCGCATCAGCCGGCCACTCGGAAACCGACAGCTAGAGCCAGAGCTCCAGCCGCACACATATCTCAAGCTAGGCATCCACGCGCAAAAAACGGAGGTAGCTCGAGGTTGGCCACGAGCCGGTCAAAGTTTTCACCTTTGCCAGCGCCTCCAGCCAGGACCAGGATGACTTCACCTTTGCCGCTGCACGAGCTTTTGAGGGACTTTGGGGAGTCCATGACGGTGCCATCCCTTTCGTCTCGCAATCCCGCAAACCAGAGCCCGTCAACCTCGGCTTTAGGGACAGCGCCTACTTTGAGATATCGAGTGCGTCTCGGCTACTGGGGTTAAGCCTCGTCCCCTTATCATTTTCAAGGGAGAACACCAGCGGGATCAGCGATTTCCGGAAGTAAATGGCCAATTCGATCACTGGGAGTTCACCGTGACAGAAAACGGGTGGACTATGTGAAATCTGTCAAGTGCCCGACCGCCCAATCGGCATAACGCCTGCACGAGATGGAAAACAGCCTGTGCAGGACCGACTCCAACCCCTGCGACTGCGGGAAATAGACCCCTCATGTATTCCCTGCAACCGAAAGCAGTTGCCACCCCTACTTGGCGACCACCCCCCTACCTGGCGACCACCCCCTACCTGGCGACCACCCCCCTACCTGGCGACCACCCCTCTCCCCGGTCTTAATTGTTGGCACCACGATTAAATTGGCGCGATCGCCATTTTCGCCTCCACAGCCTTAGTGCGGGTTAGGCCTAGCGCCCAATAGGCGATCCCAGAGCCAGGTCGCCAGGTTATTTCAGCTGCCTGCAATGATAGATGCATTTTTCACCACCCCTTCGTGATATCCAAACCCCCTGCCACCCACCGCAAAACTCCTCGTGGCGGCTAAATGCATTACTGGTTCGGCTTTTGGTTCACCCCCTGCCAGCCTTTTGACGCCCCGGGGTGTAACTCGCTCTAGGCGGCGGGTGAGGCCCCGTGTGACGGTCCCGCCATACGTCCGGTGGCGCCGCCACATATGTGGGGCATATGTGGGGCAGACACAGGCATGCAAGCCACACGGATCGCGACAACTTCAAGCGCAAGTCACACGGGCGCGACCAGCGCCTTTTCCTTCCCCTCTCCTTAGTATAGAATCTTCGTTCATAGCGCCAATGCAAGGCCTTCGCGCTTCCATTAGTTTGGCCGTAACAGCGGCCACGTGCACAGTCTGGTGTGTTTGTCCGTCCAGCTCCAGTATAGAGCCCAGATATAGAGCGTGAATTCTTTCGGACAAAAGTTCTCCTAACCTTAGATGCCAGTTCCTGTGCGATCACGAGGTGCCCTTCCAACAAAAATCGAGGGCAAACACAAGACCGAGAAAAAGGAAGTTCGGCCCGGCGTCCTCCCCGCCCGCCGGTCCAGCCTCGTCGTTCGGGCCGGCGGAGGGGTCGTCGCCGTGGCCCTCGGCCGCCAAACGCAGCCTCGCGAGTTTGTCGCCTTGGCTCGGTAGGTGCTCCCGCACAACCTCGTCGCAGTTGGCCACTTGCCACTCGCGCAGGCGTCCTGCGTCGTCCTTGGAAGGGGTGGTGGTGGCGGTCGGGTAGATGTGTATGGGTGGCGGTGGTGTGGCGATAGGGACACAGAATATCTAATGACAGCAGCTGGAATAGAACCACGCATTGGCAGGCACATCTGTATTACGTGACAAACACCAGGTCTGGACCGCAATTGGAGATGGCGTCAATTGCATCTTGGGCAGGACACGGTGCTCAAAGCAGAGCATTGTATTAACGCCTAGAACCGATATCCCCTGGGGAATATGGCGTCTCCGTCGGCGCCAGTGTGCGACACCAGCACTTATTTCCCTGGGCATAACAATGTCCATGTAGGCACGGCGCTGCGCAGTTACACGACTCTAAGCGTCGGCACGGTAAGCCACGGGGGAAACGAATTTCCCAGGAACATACGCTTTCCTGTGAACACCAACTGTAAAATTGAGACTGTGGTCCTGGGACAACACAACACATGGCTGAACACAGGGTTGTGACGGATCCCAATGTGGCTGACTCCATAATGTGGGGGGACCTCTAGCGCAAAGGACATGAGAGATGGCGCTTAACTTTGGTGTTAGCGCGTAGACCTCAACGTGCTCCTCCCTACCCTTGTCCTTGCTCTCACCATGTTTTTTTTTTCAGAGCAGGGAATCCCATCCGGCACCGCGACATCTGCGTTGCTGGCGAGGCTGGCTCGAACACTCCAAACTTCGGTCGAGGAGTTCTTGGGAATGGAGCCTGGTCCTGGAAGGACGCCGCGCCTCCTTCATTTAACATAATAATTAATCCCGTAATTTGGATCAAAAAGACGCGATATTCCTTTCAGAGTAGCATTCCGGTACTGTGCGGCTGTTCCCCAGCATCGCCCGACTGCTTCTCTGCTCTGCTCTAGGCCAGCATCTTCCATGATGCGCGGTTCCGGCCGCCCCCCAGCCCCTGACCCTAGCCCTTCAGCATATCCCTGAAGGCTCCCTAGGATCATTGGCTTGGCTGGGTGGGCTTCCCCGATCAATGTCGAATACATAACGCAATTGGGGCCCGCTCCCCGGTCGCTCCCAGCTTGGCCCGTGTTGGTATTTGATTGCCACTGGCCGCTTGCTGTTGTGAGTAGGGGAAATAGGAATCCTGGCGTGAACGATCTTCGATACTCCCAGAGGGAATAAGAGAGCGCGACGCAGTTGCCAAGGAGCACGACGTGATCGCCTTCGAAATGGAAGGGGCCGGGGCTTGGAAGGAGGTCCCTTGCATCGTCGTCAAGGGCATCTGTGACTACGCCGACAGCCACAAGAATAAGGAATGGCAAGACTTCGCGGCGGCAACCGCGGCTTCGGTGGCTGCGGCGATACTTGACCGATACGAGGTGTCAGGTGGCGTCAAACAAGAGAGATCTGAACCAGAGGGCCACAATAGCACCACGACCTACAGCCACAACGTCAACAACAGCCACAACGCCACGACCAATAGCCACAACACCACCAGCAACATTACAACCGGGGGTGGGGCAATGGCCGTGGGTAGCAACATCAATATCGGCAAGTAGTTTGAATATTGTTTAGGAATTATCAATTGCTCAATCCATCGAACTACCACTCTCTGTGGGACATACGCCCCAAAAAGCCCAAGTTTTCGGATGACGCCGACGACTCTTCAAACTGAATGGCGGGCAAGGAGGCTGACTAGCTAGATAGACCAGCGAGACCAGCGAAAATATGTCTACGCAACATGTTAGTTCCCATTTCCATTGTAGTCAACATTGACTCGTTTTCACTTTTCAAGTCTAATCGTAACGCTCAGACATACATGAACCTCCACAGGCGTTGCCAGATTGCCTGAAATCGCTGGCCTTTCTGCAAATGAGGAATCGCTCCCACGACATTGACCGCGCCGTCACGGGGACATGCGAGTGGCTGCTTGGACACGAGAAGTATCGGAGCTGGGCCGCTTGTCATCGGGGTCTGCTCTGGATCAAGGGAAAGCCGGGCTCCGGGAAGTCGACATTGCTAAAATACGCCCTCGATAATGGAGCCGTGCCCAGTGCCGGAGAAAGCACCCTCATTCTCTCTTTCTTCTTCCACGGTCGTGGTGCTGAACTCCAACGGACCCCGCTTGGCCTCTACAGGTCACTTCTTCATCAAGTTCTCAGTCAGGTACCCGACGCACTGCCCGATCTTGTCGACAACTTCGAACAACCGCTCCCCCCTCCTCAACAGCTGGTCCGCCAACCAGGCCTCTCGACAGCCGGTTCGCCACGACCCCCTCCTCAGCCGCTGCCAACCTCCTCGCTTATAATATGGCCTTTACAGTACTTACCCTTGTCGCACGCAGCCAGGGAAACCCCCCCATCCCCCGGCAGATTGGTGCACCGCCAGTCGTCCAGTATACCGTTGTTGGGCTCGTAGACGCAGCGGAACAGCTGGGCAGCCGACAAGACCCTAAGTCGATCCCAGACACTCGATTCCTGCAAATGCTCCTCCCCGCTCTGGTTGTTGTAGTTTGGGCCGAGGACGTGGCGGGCTCCGACCATGATCGACGATAGAAGCAGCAGAAACGCCAGGAGCACCACGAGGGCAATCATGCCACCCAGATGGAATGTTTGGATGCCCGGGTCCGAGATGACGAAATCGCCGGCGCCGTCAGCCGGCTGCCCGTTCGGGCCCCGGAGGGCGTTGCGGTAGGTCTGGCCGGTGCCGTACATGGTGGCGTCCGTCAAGACGCTCTGCGATGCCACGAAGCTCCCAATGATCAAGCGCCGCATGTCGCCCTCTATGCTGGATACTTTGGCGTCGATAACGCCGTTGGGGCTCGTGGTCCGGGACCTGAGCGCCGAATCCCCGCTGGCGGTGCCGAGCGTGACGAGCATCGGGACGTTGAAGGCGCTTTTAAGCACCGAAAGCAGCGAGGTTGGCACGTTTAGGCCGGGGAGCTTGTTGAGCTGACCGGGATTATAGACAGTCTGCCCCCCATGGGTCCAGCTATCTTGTTGCCAGCACGACAGGACCGGTCTTCCGGGCTTCATCCAGAAACTGGCATTCATCGGTGTGGGCGGCGCGGTATCCGGACGGCGCTCCGTCACGTACCATGGGTCGGACCCCTCGCTGATGCTCGCTCGGTGCGCCGCGGCGACGACAATAGCAAAGGAAACGTTGCCGTTGTCGGGGACGGCCGCGGGGCGGTTTATAAAGGAAACTCTTGGAGCATATCTGATGTCGGCGTTGCCGAGGGGGATGGTGACGTTCATTTCACCCCCCCATAAAGTGTACGTCTCCTCTTGCGAGTTGTTCCTGGCCGGTCTCGCGAGCCATCCGTATTCGGTAACGCAACTACCTCGAACCGCTAACTCGAGATAGGGTGCGTGCTGGAGGCCGAAATCGACGCCGGTAAGTGAGTAACCGTAGTTCATCCGAAGCATCTGCTTGTCCTGGTCCGTGATGGTCGGGTCCGGTTTGGCATCGACAACGACCCTTTGGGCTACCGTGACCTCGGCAGCCTCCACGCTCCCGAGAGCGCGCATGGACCCGGGAGCCTGGAGTCCGAATCGCTGGATGTTCTCTTGGCTGTTGGTCGCAGCGGCCGGATAGAAAAGGATGCTCGGCCGTGCTGGGGCGACGCTGCCTATCTCCAGCAGCGACGGGCCGACGATACCGAGTGCAAGGGCTGCTCCGTAGACGACAAAGGCGAGGGCGGCGGCGCCGATACCGTACCAGCGGTCGCGATTTAAAAAAAATTTCTCCGCACTGGTTTCCGAGATCTTTACGGAACAGCAATGCACGCTGTAGGCGCACATTTGCCAAAAGGCAAACCAGGGCTCGTTGGAGTTCCAGAGGGTCACCAGCGCCACGAACCTGCGCCGCCCCGTCCCCTTGTTGCAAAGCAGGGCCAGGGTGCAGATGATGTTCCAAAGGCACATGAAAATTGTAGTGAAGATGACACTGAGGCCCGCCGTTACGAGCGTGGCGCTGTTGCTAGAGAATGCCACCGCCCATATCTCCCCCTTGTCGCTCGGCATGTAGAACGGTGTGAGGAGGAGGTAGGTGGAGTCACCCAACGGCGTGTACACGTTGGATGACATTTCGGGTCCAAATTTGACTGCTGCTGGACAGGGCTGGATGTTATCAATACAAGTCTGACAGAGGAAGGTTGTCGGGGCGGAAAAGGAAGAGGAGAAGGGGGAAGAAGAAAAAGGAGGGGAAGGGGAGGAGAAAGGGGGAGAAGGAGAAAAGGGAAGAGGAGGAGAAGAGGGGGACGAAGGAGAGGGGATTTGCGAGGCTGTGGTACTTACCCCCGTGGTTTGGGCCTTCCTCTCTCTATCGCACACACACCTCTTTCTTCAAGCTCAACAATATAAGCTCGCGCGGTTCCGGCTTGTATCAAACTCGGGTGGCTCTGATGTGATAAGTGCACTGATTCCTCGGAGTCTCAGTCTCGAGCGCGTGGGAGAGGAGCAGACCGGGCAGGTATGGGCATACGGATGCCTTTATCTCGGCATTCTGAATACGGACGCCGATTTGACTGGGCAGAACATACACACGTACATGCCCCATCCCAACCTCCTGATCGGAAAGGATGGCCAGGAAGGCTTCGGGCTTGTGCAGTGGTTTGTGGTCAGGCTCCAGCATAAACGCCGTGATAATCATCCGAAATGAGCGCGTTGCATGTCGTGGCGTCTGCTGATCCAATGGCGGCTTTGAGGCGGAGGCGGTGATGATATCGGTGGATATCTTCGCTGTCGGGGCCGTCCAGCTATCCAACCGCATGAAAACCTCTGACGGCCAGGCCGGCTCTTTATTTACTAGTGCTGCGCCTCCGCCCCGCGCCGGACGGTTTCCTTTCCCCCATAGGCCGTATGCCAACGCCACTCAAATGTGGAAAATGCGTGTGGTGCACACCTGCCAGCTGTCCATACTCAATGGGGTTTTATCCCGCGCCAATCGCTTCGGGCGTCGTGGCCGCTTGAGAGTGAATCGGCCGAATTACACCGACGAGGCGCCGGTGATGGACCAGAATATGCCGCTTCCGCAGCCTGATTGTCCAGAAATGGTTGATGAAATGATTACGCTAGTGCCCCCTAGGCCTAGCCCCGGGCGTAGTCGTCACAGCCGAGCCTTGCAGAACGCCGCACTAGATGATTGGCCGCGAGCCCGACATTGGGCACCTCCGTGAGGGGGCCAGTATCCGAGATGCCGCGGCGCGCGCTGTCCGCCCCGCGGGCTGCCCCAGAGGTAAGAGTATGGTGCTCGCAAGTAGGTACTCCAGTGCCAGGCAGTACTTAATCGCGATCTCCCGCGGTTCCAGGCTTTGCAAGTGTAGCTCCAAAGTCAACAAGGCTAGCCAGTTTAAAGCTATCGTCTCTTGCGAAGACCTCATCCCCTCACACGGCCCATTCGCCCCTTCTTGCCTAGGCACACTTGCAAACATGCTACCCAAGAATCTCCTCATCGCTGCCCATTTCCTGGCCGCTTCTGCTCAAGCAGAGCCGCTGCTGGCGGTTCTTCAAGCTAACGGGCTCACGGGATTTGCCCAACTCCTCCAAAAGAATCCCCCTCCCACCACCGGCCGCAACATCATCGTCTACGCGCCGACAAACCCCGCCCTGACGGCGGCTGGCGCTCTGACCGGCAACGGCACCACTCTCAGCCGCCGCGACGAGGATCATGACAGGTGGATTGCCCTCTGTATGGCGAACCAGAACGCTGTCGTACTCAAAAGGGACGTGTTGTCTTCATGTTCTCCCGGATCAGTCTTCGAAACCCTCCTCAGCGGCCCGGAGTGGGTGAACCTCGGCCCTGGGCGCAACCAATCCCTTGTCGAAAAGGGCGTATCCTTCTCGTCACGGCCTCTTGTCTTGACCGGCCTTGGCGCCAGCATCAAGGTTGTGGCTAGCGATATCGCTTTCGACGGCGGCGTCGTTCGCCCTGTCGACGGGTTAGTACCAGCTCCCCGTCTTCTGTACCTCCCAACACCACCTCCTAGATCACGTCGTCCCCACCCTGTTCGTGCTAACCAGATCTCCCCGTAAACCAAACAGGATCCCCACGCTGCCGAGGAGCTTGTCCTACACCCTGCCGTTTCTCAACGCCGACGCCTTTGGGAACGCGCTCCGCACGGCGGGCCTCCTCCCAGGACTTGACAACAGAACCAGCATCACCGTTTTAGCCCCCAACAACGCCGCCTTCAGGAACAACGGCGGCTTGACGGGCGCCCGGCTCGAGCAGGTGCTGAAGGAGCACATCCTGCTCGGCTTCCCAGCGTACACGCCGCTGCTCAAGGATGGCTCCACCTACCGCACGCTTGCGGGGAGCAGCGTGACCGTTTCGGTGCGGGACGGTGTCGCCTACATTGGTGGCGCGCAAATCTTGGCGGGCGATAGCATTATCCAAAACGGAGTCGTCCACACCGTTGACAAGGTATGTTTGGCTCCGCATCCTTTTCCAGCGGACGCCGATAAGATGCTGACGAGGAGCCCCGGTAACAGCTGCTGACCACCACGGCATCGTCGACCGCCCTGCCGGTACCGGTGCCTACAGCGGCGGCGACCACGGCGAAGCCGCTGTCGTGGCAAGCTTTGGCCTTCACCTTGATTGGCATGGCCGTGGCCGCCAGATGCCGCTTCCTGTGATAGAAAACAACCCTTAAGGAACGACGCGCCCGGGGCTATTTAATTAATAGGAGAGCAGGGTTAATATTTGCGTGTCGGCCTGGTTTGGATTGAAGGAAATTAATTTTAGAATTCAGTGATGATTAAGGTTAGGACTAGTTTCGGGTTACACGTTAATTTTTAGTCCAATTTCTTTCCGCTCCTCTTCCCCATCCCAAGCTAAATGTTCTCTCGCGATTTGCTCAGCTCGAAATCAGAGAATGAAAAACATGGGACGGGATTTCCGGGCTGTAGCCGATCACCATATTGATATTGCAGTTGCCCACCCGGTACTGGATAGGCGACACCTGCTGGGAAGCCCAGCTCCACGACGGCTGTGGGCCGCGTGCATACACCTCCGAATAGTCCCCTAGTGTAGTTTGTCCATGACGTGACAATGGCCGCGTGATGCCAAGGTGGGTATGGGTCCCCCCGGCAAAGGCCCGCCGGATACTGCGTGCCGCCCACGAGCTCCTTCAGGAGCTCGTGCACGCGCTGCGCGAGGCCCGAGATGGCCAGCAACCGGTCCGAGCAACAACAACAACGGGACGGCAGAGGCGGACGAGGGCCTGAGCCTCGGGGCAAAGGCGGGCATCGACGCGGGCATGGGCGCTGCCGTGCTGGCCGCGGCGTTGGGGTTTTTACTGTTCTGGCGAAGGCGTCGAGCAGCCACAGGCCGCAACAAGGACGTGGCGGACGGGGCGGCGGACGGGACGGGAGCCGAGGCGGGGGAGCAGCTCGTTGGGGGCGGGCACGATTGCAGCCAGAATGGGCAAGCCGCAGTAGAGAAGGACTGAGACGGTATGAACCCGCCGGCGGCGCAGCTGGACGACACGGCGCGCGCGCAGGCGGAGATGCAGGGACAAGGGATGAGGATGGGGATGGTCTCGCCCGATGAGCCGAGTTCGAACCCGACGCCGCCGTACCAAGTGGTACCCGACCTGGCCGCGAGGCGTCACCCTGCCGGCGCCGAGATGATAACAAGCAGCAACACGCACGGGATGCAGGCTGCGGAGCTTCCGAGGGAGCTTCCATGATTTTGCTTCTTTCTAAATCCCCCCGAGTACCATTTGTTTTATATGCACGATACCTTTTGCAGCATCAAAAGCCAAAGAAGAACATGAAGCTCGAGTTCAATCTCGATCTCTCGCCGTATCCGATCCAGCCAGGGATCGAACCTGCAATCTCTTGATTCGTAGTCAAGCGCCTTGCCATTTGGCCACTGGACCTGTGGTGTGATTGGCTGAGAAACCATGCAGCACGAGTCACTTAGGAAGGGGGTTCAAATTTCTCTCCAAACAAAACTGCTGAGAATAACCGACGTCATGCCATTATGAATACGGAGGTCCTATTGAAAGCAAAGCCAGCCTTGACTCCAAGCCTTTCCTCCGTCCGCTCCCTCCACCCTGAGGACAATGTCGGTCTTCAGTCCACCATGTTTCCGCGGTGTCTCCAACGCTATGTTTCGTTTTCTGGTCCTCCATCCCGTACATTTCCCCCCTCCAACTCATTAAACCCGCGTCGCCATCTCCCCGTGCCCCTCGCTGCGAGAGAGACGGCGCCGTCCAAAAGTGTCGGCAGCTATTTTCGCCGAGAATTGTTTTGTGTTCCAGCAACACTCTCTTCAGATCTGCTGCTGCCTCTTTGACTCCCGGATTTCGTCTCGGCACATCCAGCAGCCTCGGGTCTCCCGTACTTTTCGTAGGTGCCTCCGCGATGCGGCAATCGAGGGCGAGCCGGGCAGGCAAAGTGTACGCCAGTATGAGATTGCTGGCTGGTGAGTCAATCAGGCATCACCCGAACCGACGAAATAACCAGTCTCGACGCTTCACAAGTCACTAATTATACGACACGCGCATTTTGACGCATCGGTGGGAGTGGTGGGAGACAATGTTCGCGCTTAGCCGTGGTGCCAGCAATCCAGGTCGAACAGTGCTAGCCCGCCTCGATGTTTCAAATTATCTACAAGATGCCATCAAATCGGGCCTGGTGCGGGCAACGACGGACAAGGAGAAGCTGCCGTCGCTCGAGGAACCTTATGCAGTCTTGGCTGTCATTCTCCTTGTGCTACTTTCTGGTCGTGAGGGGTCCGTGAGGGCCACTCAGGATCATGTTTGCGCCCCGGAAGCCGCCAGCGTCTTTTCCCATTCCGATTCTGGTCATACGCACATCTAGCTTACTACCATCACTCGATTCTGGCCGATAATTAAGCCGTCGACGACTCATTATAATCATGCCAGACGGAAACTGACTACGCCCTGCCCAACGAGACATCCGACATGCCATCCACGTGAGCAAGCAGCTCGCTTGAGGTGGTCACAGAATTCTTCTAGGCGCTGACTTCCGACCGCCAGGAGCTGCAGTCTGTGCTAGATCACGTTGTTCAAGTGAGAGCCGGGACTTGGCAGCGGGCAGCCTGCAGCTCACAACTCAGGTGGCCGACAACCTGGGGTCGAGGTTGGAAGCCAACAAGCCCCAACTTCAGGGTGAGATCATATTAGTATAGGCAAACATCATGCCCCTTTAAAGAAATGCAACGATGCCCAAGTGGCGGTCTCGTGCGACAGCAATGTTACACCATAATACGGTTGAACATGGCAAACAATGCTCGCGAGGAGACGTTAACCATATTAGCGAAGCTCACCATCGTGGCAGCAACCTTCCTTCCTGCCACGTTTATGCATGTAGGGCGTTACTTTCATCTCCTTACGCTTGCGTAGATATTTTTATTACTAGGTCCGCTATGTGTCTTTTTAATAACCAAGTTTCTTTTTTTATTTAAAAAAAAAAAAACCTAAACAAACGGACTTTTAACAGTATCCTCCCAGTATACATATCTGCTCCCTTACCCCTTTTCAACCGATAAATCTTTTCCTCCTCATAACCCATACGAGGAAGCTTTCCCAAGTCACGGCGATTATTGTTAAAATATCCCAGTACTAATTAACCGGAGTACCGACTGCTATCAGCACAGGCAGTATAAAGTGAAATTACAGTTTCGAATGATAATCGTGACATATGCACTATTACTGCCTGACCCCCGTACTGTGACTACCTCTTGCTTTCTATCTGTGGTCGGACCTAACATCCAGCCTTTTACTCATTTCTCATAAATCCCAGCAAGTCGTCTAAACGGGAGGAACCGCCTTACATTATACGGTTTCCAATCGTATCACCTAAATCTGACTCGACTTTGAAAGGGCATTGAGATCAAGCTGACAGCGTGTCTGCCCACGCGGAAGGCGTTATCAACTCAACCAATGCATTACACAAAGGAAGCACAACAAATCTTACTAAATGCCAACCAACCAAAACAGCAACAAATAATAATACGCCAACCCTGCCATCGCCAAATCATTAAAACACCAAAGATTCCAAACAAATCCATCAAACAACGACATGTCAACAACAATCTGTACCTCGTACGGTGGCAAAGGCAGGACCATCTGCCCCCGATGCGGTGGAACGGGATCCGACACCTTTATGGAAGCCGTCGTTTGCCACATTTGCGATATGAAGGGCCACCGCGAGTGCGATTCGTGCCACGGAAAAGGCGAACGAACCGTTCGGCCTGCCGCCATTAAAAAGCTCGAAAGCATCCAGGAGAAGATGCCCCCAAAATGACGATGGCCAGCCCGCAACAGCCGCCGATAAGAACGTTCCGCTTTCCGAAAACCAGGTCGCGGATAAGAGCTCCGCGGATGGAAAATCTCCCAAGCCTGCCGCCGCGGCTCCCAACAAGCGTTAGGAAAAACCGGTCGAATCGGGCCGAAAGGGTGCCACGCGCGAGGTCACCCCGGGAATCCCGACATGGTTCTAGTGCTATAAGACCCTAATTACCCTTAACCATAATAGTTGCTTCTTTCAAACTCTTATCTATTAACCGCCAATCCTACACAGGAGTCCTGAGTTTAGCGTTACGAGACCGAGCGTAAGGCTGGCCGTAAGGCCTTGAAAGTCTTTATAACTGTTTGGAATGTTTGGGGTCGGGGCGGTTTATTACGCCCCGCACAATTCGAAAAAGGAAAACAATTTCCCGTCGGCAAAGTCCGGAGGGGCACAGGGGGATTATATTATAGGTATACAATATACCGCATTTGCATTTACGACGACGCCACATTCATACTGGTTGGTATCTTATTGTGCTGGACCGAAAATACATATGGATGTTCAACAGCCACCCACGTAACAGCTTGCTGACAGCCCGTAACATGCGGCTCACCTTTTGTTGCAGGACCACGTGATATATCCAGCCTTGGCACCATCAGCATCACGCCTGCGCCCGAGCCATCTACATGCAGGCTCATAGGTATGCACCCAGCCAGAAAAGGGGTTTCTTCTAACGGTCGGTGCCCGGACCATCCTTGGCTTGCGAGAACAGGACGCATTACCGCCCCGCGCCACGCAATTATGACTTGCTGGCGGACCAAGTTAGCGTGCTTGGCTCGTGTGCTGGCGGGTTTCGCCAAGGGACACAACTTGGCTACGGCTGAGGGGTTCGTCTGCGCAGCTGTGGGCGGGTCAGGAACAGGACGTTGAGAGAAAAAAGAAAAAAAAGAAAAAAAAACAATCATGGCTGGGTTTGGTCACTTTTGCCTTTATTTTAGCTCGCAATAAGGTTCGTTAAATGCCCCGCAAATCCTTCTTTTTTTTCCACGAGGAAAAAAATCCTGCCTGGCCAAAGGTTGTTATTGGTTTGACGGGGTCTGGATATTCGAATTCTCACGGTCGCAAACGGCAGGGCTGGATTAAGGTGTTTGGCGGGGGCGCATCCCGTCCATACGAAAACGGCAAAACGAGTCGTCGTTATCAGTGCAAAAATACGAGTCGGCCGTAGCAGCTTCTATGGTAACGCTTAAAAGATTGTGGCCATTCGTTTGGCGAGATGACATTTACTTGCTGGATTGGGTAAGCAGTATGGATTCGAAAAAATCCGGATGGATGACGAAGGAGCGTTGAAAGCTTTGGCTCCGTGGTCGTCTCGTCGCACCGCACCTGCGCATGCAGTGACATTCAGGGGCACCCAACGCCACAGTGTGTCTCTGACGGACTTAAGCTTACATCAAAGGGAGAGGATGTGTGCCGTGTGGGTAGACGAGCTGGCGGAGTATGGTGGTGAAGAACATGGCCGCGCTGCCGCGGTCGCCCTCGCCTTTTTTGAAGAAGAAGCTCGCACTGGGCACCTTTTCCGCAGAAAGCTTTTTGGCTACCGTTCGAGAAATGGTCGATTTGCCGGTGCCGGCCATGCCACGCAGCCAAAAAATGCATTTTCCGTTGGGATCCTCGATCCATTTGTGAATGTCGGCGAGAAGGTCCACGCGGGTGTCCGGGTGGCAGCTAGGGTCGTGTTCGTTCGCCTGGGCATCGAATGCAGCGCTTTTCGCGATAGGAAGTTTCGAAAGGACGATTTTACGGTTAATGTCGAGGGCAAGGGTGCTATTGCTTAAGATTAGCTGCGTAATAAAGGCTCGTAAGTGGGGTAACGAACATCTGATCGATTTGAAGTGCGGCGGATATCGCGTCCCGCTCTTGCCGGAGGTCGCTGATGATTTCCTCGACCTCGTTGCTCTCGAACGGCCATACCAAAGCGCGCAGACCCATACGTCTCATAGCACGATGCTTTAGGCCATTGTTCAGTTTCCCATCTAGCCTCGCGTGAATGGGATCGAGCTGCGAGCGGGCGTTTGCAAGGGCGCTGCGCAGGTTTTGCGCGGTCTCAAATCGAGACCCATCTGGACCTTGCAAAAGCCGCTGCGCACCTTCGACGATTGCTTTCAAATCCTCTATGTGCTGTCGAAACCGTTCGATGTCGTGCTTGGCGTTTTTGACTTTGCGAACGTACTGTAGGCAGAGGTCGCCGACTTTTGCGGCGATCTCTATCACCGCGAGGGCGCTTGCTGCTGCTCCCAAGCCCTCCATCGCGCGGCAGGTGGGTAGCACTTACGAAACGAGAATGAAACGTTGGCAATCGAAACGAGAATAAAACGCTAGCAATCTGCCGATATGGGGGATGGATATCGTGGCCAAGATGTCGACGAGCGCCTGTCGAGAACTTGGAAGGCGCATCGTCAGGCTGCGAAGGGAGGGGTAAGGCTTCAATGCGACGGCCGACTCGCACAGCCCCAAAACCGCAGCGAGGCGGTGCGCAGCCACATCTGCATCTCTGATTGATAGCCAATCGAAAGGCCAGGTTTTCAAGGTTTTTTTTTAAAGCTTTCGTCGGCGCAGCGCTTGTTGTGGAATGGCAGGGCCTCACAGCATGCACGTCCAGTACCCACTTTCTGCGCGCGTGGCTAAATCCTTGCACGCGAACTGGGTGCAACGTACCAAACCCTCCTTTTTACACCTAACTCTAGATAGTCAATTCTACTGTTTTACCCTGCTGTAGCAGCGTCTTTTTGGTAGATAGAGATCCGTAACAGCGCTGAGGCTGTGAACAGGAACCAAAGGTGAACAGGGAATTAAGGCTGCAGGCAGGAACTTGCAGGCACTCCCTGTCCACAGCCGTTTTGGGCGTCGCAGCAAAGCATGCGGGGCCCAGCTACACCTTGGTGCCGGTGGCTGGAACCGCCAGGGCTGACCAGCGGAGGTGTTGTCGAAGCTAACCGGGATCCAGCGGTTTAGGGACTCCTTGTCCCATACCGACGCGTCGCGCGTGTCTGCTCCTCGCCTCGTCGTTCTTGCGCAGTTTTTCCCGCGTGCATAGTATTTTGGTCCGTGGGAATTTTTCGCCCCTGTCCGACTGGCCCTGTGGTGCTTTCTACCTCGACCTTCTTCCGCCTCCCCTCACGGCATCTTGGCGGCCGCTGCTTGGGCGCGTATCTGGGCTGTCCACCCATCCTCGTCGCAGTACCTTTTCCCCCTGTATCCTCCATTTAGGGAGCCCCGCTATCGGTATGCAGGGTCAGTAGTACTCCCATCTTTGTTATTCTGTCACATATCCAGTCTGGCGGTGTTTGTCTTCCTCGGGTTTGCTTTCCACGCTTCCTCGGTCCGCACCCTTCGCTAACCTATATTTTTATACGCGTCCCCAGTCACTGCGTCCAAACATCACTCCCCTCCCCGATCTGATTTCGTCCAGATGGAAATGTTAGCAACGTGCAAAAATGCGTCTAAATCTGACTCTATTATGCATGTGTCGAGCCTATTCCCTAACCGTTTCAAATGTGGGCATATCCCTATTTAGGTGGGGAATTTAATACTGCGCCATGGGTAATACGGAGGGCACATCTACCCCAATGTTGCACCATCGTGGCGGCCCATCTGGACCCGAATGCCATGCCAACGACATGCCCGTGCATCCCTTGTGCAACAAATATTATTTAAGCAACTCCTAGCTCCCCCAACTCCTGCGAGGTCATACCCGAAATATCGAGATTCCAAAGGTCAATCTCGACCTTTTTGTCGTGCATCTCGTGCTGTGCTTGTGCCTGCGCGGCCTCGGGGTTTGCATTTTTTCCGCGAGCTTGAAAATCTTATCTGCTGTGCCCCTACAGTATGCATATAAAATCAATTGAAATGTTTCCCTAAAATATTCGCTTGTACGGGCGGGGCAACGTGTTACGGGGTAAGCCGAAGGCCTGTACGACGTGATCACGATGATAGCAGACGATCTGTAGAGGGCTGAAGGCCTATATTGCTATAGGGTCGATACAACAACTTCAGCTTGTCCCTGGCAACACTTTAATTGCCTCCCACAAGCTGCCTGAGTAACGCGGGCCTCGGACCTCTCTGTCGTGTGCCTAGGTGCCTTAGGCCTCCGCGTGGCGTGGGCCCTCCAGGGCTCGAGCCACCTCCTGGGCGGTGATCCCGTTGTCGCGGCAGATCCTCTACACTATCTCCCCTCGGGGCGCTGACGTCTCGGCGGTGCCCACTGGTCGGAAGCCAGAGGTGGAATGCGTTATGACCAGCGTTATTGGCGCCTTCACCATCACGGACGGTTAGTGTTCGGTAGGCGTTAGGAATGGCCTCACTTTTGGCCTGGCGACGAGGTCGAGGTGATTTTGGTGGCGTTCGGCCGTGTGGGGCCGGCGGGCTCGGGCGGGCCCCGGCGACGGTTAGGGCAGGAGCGGGCCAGCCGGTGGTCTTTTGTTTTCCCTCCGGCGGACCGGCGTTGTTTTTCCTTCGAACAACACCACCCACAATAGCAATCAACAACAAATTGTTAAGTCAGTGCACCCCACGTCCGGCCACCCCCCATGTCCGGCCACCTTTTCCCCATACAAACAGGTAAAAACTCACTGTCTTTACAACGCAATTACAAATCGAATAAAAATCGTAAAAATATAAGCTAAAAAAGGTTGGAAAATTTAAACACGTAGTCTTTACTATAAATTAAAAATAAAAAAAATATAAATAATTATTAATAATAAATTCAAAGTTTAAAAAAGGATTTAAAATTACATATAATTTATGTGTAAGTAAAAAACGCAAATACTTTAATAATTATTACATAAAATTTACTGCAATAAATTTATACAGATTTTTTACTGCAAAATACATATAAAGCATATAAAATAAAATTAATATAATTTTTTTACAAATTTTAAATACAAATTTTATAAGCACTGTATAATACTCTGTACGCATAAATCTTTATCGGCGTAATTACAAATTACTGCGTAATATATATTATATATATGTATAATGCGTTAAAATTTGCGATTTAATATATATAATGCAAAAAAATTGCATATTTATAATTTATTTTATTAAAAAGTTATTTAACAATTTTAAATGTTACAATCCCCATATAATTTATTAGCAATCCTTAACATTTTAATTATTTTTAATTTATTTAAAGCTTATGTACCAACCGTTAAGTATAAAATATATTATAAATTATCATAATATATGCTTACTTTTAGTTTTTATATCCCTGCTTACTTTATATTTTTGCGATTTTTACTCGATTTTTAATTGCGCTGTAAAAACAGTGAGTTTGTACTTGTTTGTATGGGGAAAAGGTGGCCGGACATGGGGGGTGGCCGGACGTGGGGTGCACTGACTTATTGCTTTGTTCCCTCTGCCCTCGCACTGCCTGTTTGCCCGCGGGGCTCGCGCTCCTGATGCATATGCCTGCCTCGCTTGCTTCCCCGCGCTCGCACGATCTCCATATCCTCGCGCCTGCTCGCGCTCTTTGCCTTTGTCGACGCCTTCAGATTGCGGTAACGGCGATTACGGTCGCGCTCTTTTATTGCGGTCACGAGCTTCGTACGTTTTCGTCCTCCCCTCCAATGCTCTCGTCTCGAGCGTCTACTAAGTTTTCCCAGCATCATATCTTCCGTTCAGGCCGACAACGCAGCGCATCGCGCGTCTCTTTTCGCTCTAACTGCGAAGGAGCGAGCCTTCGTTAAGGTTGTGCGCGAAAAAAACTCCGGGTCACGTCGATTCACGGTCCCCGTCCTGCGGTCGCGTTTGCGCCCGCCATCGCTCACCACGGCTTGTGCCCGTCTCTGAGCCATAAGTCAAAGCACCCCCTGTCCGATCACCTCCAGCCCCACAACCCCGAATCTTACCACGTATTTATTTTCTACAGGATTCCATCAATTTTGATACGTTTTCCTTACTTTTTACTGCATTTAAAAGCTGGGATGCGAGAGAAACAGTATACGGAACAAGAAATCGAACGGGCCGTTGCCGCGGTGCAAGCGAAGGTTTCAATCCGGAAGGCTGCTCGAACTTATGGAATTCCCTACACTACCCTCCACGACCGACTTAAAGGCACCCTACCGATCCGGCAGTCACAAGAAACCTATCAGCGGCTAAGCCCGGCCCAGGAGAAGGGCCTGGCAGATTGGATACGCATACAGGCCTCCCTAGGCCTCCCTCCAACGCATGCTGAAGTCCGCTTTTTTGCGGAGGAGATCCTACGCCGGGAGGGCACCCAACAGGCCCTTGGGAAGCGCTGGATTAGCCGCTTTTTGCAAAGTTATCCGGAGATCCGTATCGGAAGAGGCCGGCGCATAGAGTCGGCACGAGTTAAAGGGGCTACTATTACAGTTATTAAAAACTGGTGGCAGCATTTCCGGATCCCGGAAGTGGCCGGGATCAAACCGGAAAATACGTACAATGCAGACGAAGGGGGCTTGCAGGAGGGCAAAACGGGCAACGGCCTTGTTCTAGGCCTTGCAGAGGCCAGGCATTTGCAAAGGAAAGACCCTGGGGATCGCACCTGGACGTCGTTTATCGAATGCATCTCGGCCATTAGGGTTTCGCTTCCTCCCCTTATTATTTTTAAAGGGAAATACGTGCAGGAGCAATGGTTTCCGGAGGATTTAGGCCAATTTAAAGGCTGGGAATTTACTGCAACGGATAGCGGGTGGACTACGGATCGTACGGGGGTAGAATGGCTGCAAAAAATCTTCCTCCCTCGCACCCAACCCCCTACCCCTGAACCCCGGCTTTTAATATTAGATGGCCACGGATCCCACGTTACCAAAAAGTTTATATCTCTTTGCCTGCAAAATAACGTATATCTTTTATATTTACCCCCTCATTCCTCCCACGTTTTGCAGCCTCTCGATCTATCTGTCTTCAGCCCTCTCAAACAGGCCTACTGTCACGGCCATGGTCGAGAACTAGAACACAGTCAATTGGCGCTACGTGTGACGGCCCAGGGCAGTTCACCGCACAGCGCAGGGATCCACGTGAGCACGCGCCGCGGAACAGCCCGTGCGACAAGACGCCGCACCACCTTTTCTTCTGCATCGCGTGTTCGGCGCTCCGCGCCTCTTTCCCTTTTCCCTCCCCATAGAAGAGTCTTTGTCCATAGCATCAATTGAACCTGGCTGCGAAGCCTACTCTTCCTGATCGTGACACTACGAACGAAGATTCTAATCTGAGGGAGAAGGGAAGGAAAAGAAGGGATTCCGGTGTTCGGCGCGCGTTCAGCGCGTTTTGATGATAGTCACCGTGTGGGTCCTGGTCTGTAGGTCAAGGCCCACAGGCCTTGACCCAGATCGTCACACCTACCGCCAAAAAATAGGCTCCCAAGCTCTATTTACCTGCTCTACTATAGTAGGAAAGCGTCAATTTCTAACGGGTTATGCCTACGCACGCAATAAAGCACTAACCGAGCATATAATCAAGTCGGGGTGGCGGGCATCAGGGCTTTGGCCACGCAATATAGCCAAGCCCCTAATGAACCGGCTTTTGATCGAAAATTCTAACAAAAACGAACGACGAACTGGAATTCAACAATCTGCCGAAAAAAACAGGGCCAAACAACGTTCAAATACGCTTTCCCAACTGTCCCAAATACCCTGGGAAACTCCCAAACAGGCCAGGGGGTTGGCCTCCCAAATCAGCGCTTTTAAGGCCTGGATTCCGGCAAGCCCTACGGCCCGACTTTTCCTCCGGAAAGTCCAAAAAAGCTACGAGGCGCGTAAATTCGAATTAGCTGAGGCCGTGCAAAAAATTAGGCGGCTGGAGGCCGAATTGGAGGCACAGCGGCCTCGCAAAAAAAGGAGGGTGGCCCCGGATCCCAACGAGACTTTTGTGGATATCCGGCGCGTTGCAAAAGCAAGGGGGCAAGTTGAGGGGGCAAACAGTACAGCATCCGAATCAGCGGAAAATTCTGATCAGGAATCTATATACAGTTGTATCGAGGTTAGTTAAATTGAGGTAGAAATTTGCAGTTGAATGCACTAGGTTTAGTCGGGATCCGATTCATTTTGGTGATCGGACAGGGGGGGTGATCGGACAGGGGGTGCTTTAACTTACTGCTCCTTCGCTGCCCGCCTATCCTGCGGGTGTTTTTCGGCGCCTTGCCGACCTTAATACCAGCGAGGCGCCACATCGTTTGCCTTGCGCCTGTTCGCGGAGGAGGACCGCCGGTCGGCGCTGGACGTCCCTATCGCTAGCATTCCGGACTTCCACGGCGATCGGCGCCTGTTTCTTTGCGGCAACTGCTATGTGCTGTAAGTCGACCCACCCCGACGTTGGGCCACCCCCTGTCTTGGGCCACCCCACAGAACCTTCTCGTTTCCGG